TTCCTCAAACAATTAAACCCAGAACTACCATATGACCCAATAATCCCACTTCTGTTATTTATTCCAAAGAATCGAAATATCAAGCTCTTGAAGAGGCATCAGCACTCCCATGTTCCTTGTGGCATTACTCACAGTAGCCAAGATCTGGAAACAAGCTAAGTGTCCATTGACAAGTGAATGGATTAAAAACTGTTCTAGTCAACCTTTAACAAAAGGACATTCTGCAAGATGCAACAACATGGATGAATGCGGAAGACATTGAGTTAAATGAAATAAGTCAGTCACAAGACAAATACTGCATATTTTCATTTAAATGAAGTATCTAAAACAGTCAGACTCAAAGAATAGAATGGTGGTTGCCAGAGGTGTGGGGGCAGGTTTGGTGGTTGCCAACCACTGGGTACAAAATTTCAGTTATGCAAGATGAGGAAGTTCTAGAGATCTGTACAACATTGTGCCTACAGATAACAATATTGTTTGGTACACTGAACAATTTGTCAAGAGGGTAGATCGCATGTTAAGTATTCTTATCACAATGAAAATTTAAAAACATTAAAAAAATTAAAAAGAGCTCACGAGGCAAATCTGAGTTGTAAACAGGAGGGCAAGGAGACTCATGCAGCTTCGGGTCATCAATAACACTCTTCAATCACTTTGAAAACCATCTTGGCAGAAACCATTGGCTCTTAAACAATAAACGGACTCATTGAAAAGTATTCTTCTCTGTCCCTCAAAGAAGGATCTCTGATTGGCAAATGCTATTTATGGCAAGAACAGAATCGATTCCACAAAGATTGATGTGGCCTCTGCCGTGTAGCAGGCGCTGGGCTATGGACCGAGGAAAGAATAAAGGCAGCTGCTGCTCTGCTCACCAGGTAGGGAAGCAGGGCAGGTAGGAGCAGGGACTCGGAGCTCAGACCCGATGCCTACACTCACTCTGCTGCCTGCTGGCTATGTGGCCCTGAGCAAGCTGCCTGACCTTTTTGTTCTCTGGAAAATGGGGATGAGAAAAGAATGCATGATATGCTTTGGACAGTGCCATCCACTGTGCTGTTATCGGCTCTAAATACGACTTACTGTAAGGTCACGTGAAAGGATGGAGCTGTAAGGATGGAGTGCACTGGCCCCAGGGAGGCAGGAAGGTGGGACTGGATCCACAAGAGGACCTGGACTGAGCAGGAATTTTGGGTGTAGCTCCAGCCATGTCTTGTTGGAGGGGCTTGGGGCATAATCTGGATGTTATTTAGTGGGCAGCTGGAACTGTAAGTCTCAAGGTGGGTCTGGGAGTTGGGAGGACCCCAGGGCAGGGTGGGCCCTGCTGATTTGGGGCCAGCCACCTGCATGGCCATAGGGGAAAAGCCTAAAATTTTCCAGCAAGGAGAAGGCAGCAGCAGTGCCTTTGGCTTCCAGAAACTTCTTAGAGCTGGCTCAACCTACTTTGGGTCAGGACTGGGGATGAGTATGTGTGTATGTGATAAGGTAGGGGAGGCAACAACTAAGAAATCAGGTGCATCTTGAATTCTGGGAAAGGCACAGGTTCTCCAAAGGGACTGATAAGATCCCTAGGGCACACCTTCATGTCCTGACCTTTTCTCAAGGTCCACTTTTAGGGAAGCTTAGTTCTCTATTGGAAAGAGCCCTGGATTGGGAGTTCAGGAGCTCTAGGCCAGGTCTGGCATGGACTGGCTGTGTGTCCTGACAGGGCATTCAGCCCCTATAACCCCTTTAAGACTGGGCGTGTGCCCAGGCCCTAAGTCAGAGTGGAGGACACTGAGCTTTCTGAGAGCCACCCTGCCCTAAAGGAAGTCCCCTGGGCATTTCCTTCCACATTCCAACTTAGTTGCCCTCGTTGCCCTCGTGTGCTTAGCACCATCTCCACATCATGTCTTCCCCAAACCCTGTAGATTGAGCAGTATGATCCCCCTTTTTAAAAATATTTTTTATTTATTTCAGAGAGAGAGGAAGGGGGAGAGGGAGAGAGAGAGAGAGAGAGAGAGAGAGAGAGAGAAACATCGATGAGAAAGAGTCATTGATCAGCTGCCTCCTGCATGCCTCCTGTTGGGGATCGAGCCCACAACCTGGGCATGTGCCCTGACCAGTAATCGAACCGAGATCTCCTGGATCCTAGGTCGATGCTCAACCGCTGAGCCACGTCAGCAGGGCAGCATGATCCCTCTTTACAAATGAGGAACTGAGGCTCAGAGCTGGTGAACTCTTCCCCAAGATGGCACAGCTAACCAATGGAAGAGGTGGATTTGAATCCAAAGCAGATGCTCTTGAACCACCTCATATGGGGCCTCAAGTAGGTGGTGTGGAACATGGCATTCCGGTCTCCTCTTTTACGAAATGGTAAAAGCCAAGATGATTTATTTATTCTTCACATTTACCGCAAGCATGGCAGAAGTTTGTGTTTGTGACACTGTCCCACAGAGTTCAACGTATCAAACAAGTGGGCATTAGGGGAGGCTCCTTGTTTCTTGCCTGTGCAGACCGCCTGGCACCTTCTGGGTCTCACACCAGAACATTCACACTGCCGTGGGTGCTATTAGAAGTGTCCCGGCAGCCAGGGCCAGTGCTCAGCCCTGCTTCCTGCTCAGGGGAGCAGGTGACAGCAACACCAGGAGGTGCCCAGATCACAAAAAGGGAAGATGTTGGGACAATCCAGGTCACTAGAAAGTGCTGCTTTCTGCCTTGAGAGGGGTTGCCAGGGGCTCAGGGCAACTCAGGAAGGGATAGGACTCCATGAGGCCATCTGGGCCAGCCTCCTGCCTCCAAGAAGGCCACCTTCAAATCATCCCCAAAGGGATACAGCAAGCAAAGCTATGGCCTCTCTTGGTGCTGCATTCTGAGCTTAAGACACTTTGAGAGTGAAATAAAGTTGGGAGAGACCATTGTTTGCATCTAAGAAATAAGTCTGAATTCAAGTGCACTTGTTAAGAAAATGTTTGGCTTTGTGTCTTAGGGTTTGCGAAGCGCCCGGGAGAGGCCTGTGTGCTCTGCTTCCCTGGGCATCATCGCAGTGTGGAATGAACACCCTGTTTCCCTGTAAGTGCATGCTTCAGAAACATCTGCAAATAGCCCACCCCCCCTCTTAAATTGCTCTACTTAAATTGCTCTTTCTTTTAAAAACACAAAAATGTTCCTTGACCCCACACCTCCCCTTTCACTGACGAGTTCCCTTTCATAGAAACACTTCTTAAAGACCCATCCATACTCAGGTCCTCACTTCCACCGCTCCCGAGTGTGGCACAATGTGGCTCCTGTGCTCACTCCACTGACACCAGACCCCCTCTCCCACCTCCTTGTTGCTAAACCCAGGCCACTTCTCTGTCCCAAAGGCTACTCCTCCTTAGGTCCTGGGACCTGCTGCTGGGGGTGGGAGGGTACAGCACATGTGAAGGAGTGCTGTAATGGTTCTCACGCTCCCCTGGAACCTTCTCTGACCCATTCCTCCTGCCTCTGGGCTACTCCTCCACTACCTCCTCGCTGGCTCCCATCCTCTCCTCCATTTGCATCCTCTCCCTGGGTGACCCCATCTGGTCCCCAGCCCTGAGCACCAGGTACACATCAACACTTCATACGACATTCCGTTCGTGTCCCCAGGATGACCTCTTCCTGATCTTCAGACACTTCTACCGGAACAACTACATGACAGTGCCCTGGCAGGACCAACAGGTCACCCAAACATAAAACACTGACTCCTGGTTTTCGTCCCTGCTCTATTTCTCTTCCAGACTATTCTAGACAGTGGTGCCACCAGGCTGCTAGACAAGGAGCCCACACCACCTTCCCCCTTCTCTACAGCTCATGTCAGCAGGTTCTGCTGGTACTAACTCAAAAATATACCTGGAATGCACACAGACAGCCCTCCATCCTCACTTCCTCGCTGTGTTCCCAGCCACCAACCTCTCAACGGGGCACACCAACGGCCCCCTAGTAAACTCCCAGCTTCCACATTTGCCCCGTCCAATTCTGTGCACGAGAGCAGCCAGGGTGACCTCTGAAGTGGGTTATCCCGCCTGGTACGAAAAGTACCCCACTGACTCCCTGCTTCCCAAAAGTTTCTCGGTTGTTCTTATTTCTTTCTTTTCCAGAAGCAAATTTAAAAAGAAAAATAAATAATTCAGTGGTAAACCAACCCAATCCAAAGATCCATTCATTCAAATAATACTCACTGCAGGCAGTGTCCGATCAGGGTTCCTGCAGTCTGAGTTAGTAACGCTTTCTTTGG